AAGAGTGAACGGCGAAGTTTCGCAGACAAGATGAGGGCTGCGGAAGATCTTGTGAAGAACAAAAAAGAGCATAGTGCCGAACACTCTACCAAGTCATGGGGTGAATCACCGATAGTCAATACCAAGTTCGCGGCAGCTCGAAATGATGTGGAAAATCAAGATCCCGTGTTGAAGTTAGTAAACGAGCCGACATCTGACATGTTCGTAACCAAGGAAGCTAAAGAATCAGCACTCGTGCCGGTCTTCGACAGGAGATCATTCGTTGATGATATCTGCTTTAGAGGAAAGACATTTGACGACTGCCTTACGACTTTAGATCGACTCTTGGCTCGATTCACAGAATGCCGTATCAGCATCAGCTTCACCAAAAGTATATTCGTTCAACCACGAGTTGAATTCCTTTCTCACGAAGTATCGCACAAAGAAATTCGAGCTAATACTAAGAGGTCAGCCGCAATCACGAGCCTATCGTTTCCACGCACGAAAAGAGGGATGCAATCCTTCTTAGGAGCTTTGAACTACTATATTAGATTCATACAAGACTTTGCAGTCTTCGGTGCGGCACTATACCAACTAAAGAACAATGATTTCGAAGAAGACGGCGACCTAACAACGGCTCGCCGAGCTAAAACAGAAAGTAGCCGAAGCTCCGATTCTTCAGCACTTTGACAGAACAAAGGAAGTTCATATCATGCTCTTCGCCAACGAATGGGCATTGAGTACGACTCTTCTTCAATTGCACGAGGACAAACTTCATCCTGTGCGATTCTGTGGTTAGGTTTTGAAAGACGCGGAGATGAATTATCACCCTGCGGAGAAAGAAGTATTAGCACTGCTACTACTACCGAAGATGAATTACCACCCTGTGGAAAAAGAAGTGTTAACACTGCTACTGCTACTGAAGCCTTGTTATACACAACTAGCTGGACGCACATTACATGTGTACACTAGGTTCTCGACGTTGGAATGGATAACTAAATCCAAGTCACTCTTCGGGAGAGCGGTCCAATGAGCAGTGCTGCTATCGCCTTGGCACCTGATTGCCCAGCGAATTAAAGAAAAGGACTGCGCTTTCACGAGATTGCTCCAGTCAACGGTAACGAACTTTGTGGATATTGACGACTCGTTGGAACTAGTAGCTCCACCTCAGAAAGGTTCACCGACTGCTCGGATAGACCCACAACTCCTCTACGCCAAATTACCCCTTGACTATTCGGGACTCGTCGTATCTTTTGACGTTTCAGCGAAGACTGAGAAGAACGGAGGATACGGGAGTTGTACATGGGTCGTATGGCGTCTACCTGAATGGATTATAGTGCTTGCTGCGAGTGCGTACCTGGTGTCAACAACTGTGAACGTCGCAGAATACACCGGGATGAACAACGGGGTAAGAGCAGCACTAGAATTGGGTGCCGATAATTTAGTAGTTGTGGGTGACTCCAGGCTTGCAATCCAACAGTCCCTAGGGGTGATTGCATGCCGAAAGGAGACGCTCATGGCTCAATTGAACTACCACAAGGAACTGACATCAAAGCTAAAGTCAGTCAAATACCTTCATTTTCTGAGAGAATTCGATGCAGCCGCTAGCGACAGAAGCACTGGAATCGAAAACATCAAAAGTGGTGTTAAACGAAAGCCGCAAACTCGAGTTAGCAGGACTCAATTGCATCCGAGAAGTGATCTACGACTCCAGCCAAACCAGAATTGAAGTAAAACCTGTTGCTGAAGACGCAACTCGAAGTGTGAGCACAATTTCAGCCTCTCAGTCCAAACCATTTGCAGACTTTGTCCAAGCTGTTCAGAAACAATCAACGAGCTATGTGTTGTGACAAGGAGCCAAACCATAACTCAGAAGAAGCGTGTGCGTTTTGCCGACGATTCAGGGGCAATCTCTGAAGCAATCATATCGAAACCAATGTCGACAGAGGACACAGAAAATGTGGCAGTAAACCCTGCGAAGACTGGAGCAAACCCACTCAATATGGTACCAGACGCAAGTGACGTCGACCCAGCGGCGATACAATCGGAGCGACGACGGAGAATCGCTATCGCTCAAGACGACGAGCTAAATGGCTCAATCTTAAAATGGTGTTACAAGGAAACTCGGACAAACTCAAATACAGAGCTGCTCGACATGCGTGGAAGATTGCAGAACAATTTCTCCTGACTGACGACAATATGTGCTGTACTATATGCGCTCGACCCCTGGGAACCAACAAGACAACCAAGGAGAATTGAGACTGCGACTAGTAGTTCCAACAACGATGATCCAAGAAGTTCTTCTAAATAACCATGACTCATTGGAAGGTGGACATCAAGGCGTAGTGAGAACATACCAACGAGTGAGGTAAGATTATTATTGGTTTGACCTTTATGCAGACGTCGAGAAACACGTGAAGTCGTGTCCGGATTGTAGTTCAAGTAAGAGCAAACCACAGGCGAGAGGGTATTCTCCTGGCAACATTCTCGCCGAACGACCATTCCAGATTGTCTCGATGGACTTCGTAATTCCGCTGTCGAAATCTCGACGAGGCAACACGGCGCTGCTGTGTACTTTCACTGGATCCGTCATTGCTAAACCGATGTCGGACACCACGGCATTCAAAGTCGCACAAGTATTCGAAGAAAGCATTTACCGAAGATTTGGGGCACCGTCATTAATAAGGCATGATAGGGATCCCCGCTTTATGAGCGAAGTATTCCAAGCGTCTGCCGAGATGATGCAGTCAAGATCGTGAGCAACTCTGAGTTATCGGCCACAAGCCAACGGGCAGCAAGAAAGATCAGTTAAGACGGTAATACAGCCTGTAAAAGTCTATGCCGAAGACCCACTTCAGCAAGACTGGGACGAGATAGCAGAGCATCTAGTTTTCGCCATCAACAACTCAATGGATACTACTCGAAAGGAAACATCTTTCTACTTAGTTCACGGATGGGATGCCAGCTCGACAATGAAGGCGATGACGTCGTGTCTTCGACACGGAACTCCGAAGCAGTCCGAAGCCCTGGTGTGGCGTCGAGAAGTCAACCGACAACAGGAAGTTGCGTGGCGAATGACCCAAGAGTACCAGCATACTGAAAAGTCACGAAGAGCAAGACTTCACAATAATGCACTGAGTAAAATGGAGAAAGTGGCATTGCAAAACGAAGATGCAGAGAGCCCGACACGCCAAGACGGCGAGGACTCAGCGACCAAATCGAAATCGAGCAAGAAGAAGTTGTTCGAAGCAGGAAGTCGAGCTTGACTTTACATGGAAAGAGTCAAACCAGGACTCACGAAGAAGCTCGCTCATCGGTGGCACGGACCTTTTCGCATCAAGAAGAAAGTGGACGAATTTGCTGTTGAATTGGAACTCCCAGACAAGAGCGACTACCGGTTCTATCCTGTAGTGCACATCTCAAGGTTGAAGCCAGTAAACGAATTCTCTAGTCGACCTACGACTCTACTCGCACCTGAAATAGCCGAAGATTCGCGAATGGATTTTGACGAAGTACTCCTTCCCGACGATTCATGCGAACCATACCACATTGCGGGAGAATATGAAGTAGAGGTCATTTTGGATGACCGAAGACCACTTCAAACTAGTACCGAGAAGTCGGTGAGAGAATTCGAAGTAAAGTGGGTCGGGTACGACGAGCCAACATGGGAGCCGGCGTCACATCTTTCCTGCGGTGGGCTCCTTTATGACTACTTGCAGCGAAAAAAAGAGTGAACACCGCTTCTAGATGGTTCAAGTGGCGGACGACAACTAGCCGCCATGTCCGACTATGGAATGATCTAAAATCTAGGGCAACGCAGCCCAGAACGCACAGACGAAAACTGCTACTGCATCAATTTGTATAATTTATATGATATGACTGATGAACGCAAATGTTAAGCGGAAAGTGGAATTAAGAAAGAAAACGTTATTCAAGCCAACAACTCATACTTCGAACTACGAGCTTGAACAAGATGGCAAAATTCAAATGATTTGGGTAGACGAATCTTCGTCTTCGTCCTCAATTACATGAGGAGGTTCTTCAATCTCCTTCTGCTCCGTCTCTTCTTCTTCGGAAACTTCATCGTCCTCTTCACGAGAAGTCGGCACTGGATCCTCACCGTCCTGGGTAAAATCAGTGTCCTTGGCTAGAGCCATGAGACGATCAAGCAGCAACAAATCAGGAGGATCCGCAGCCTCGACCAGGTCTTCGGGAGTAGGGTCATATGCAACCAACGACTCCACAACTGGAGGCAAACCTTGGAAAGGCTGCTCCCAACCACCGACAATTTCTGCGTTGGTGAGAGCTGGATCGCGGACAATGAGAGG